GGTCATTATGGGGAAAAGAACACCGACAGGCTGATCAGGAGCTCGGCGCGAAGTAGGAGGGATCTAGATCGGCATGGAGGCACTATTATGCAATAGTGCAACATTATCCCGCTTAACTTACATGGCCAACATTCTCGACAAAGTAACGAAATGACTCCCAATATTAATTGAAATGCTTTTATGGATTTAGAAAATGATTTTATTGATTTCAAAAATAGTTGTATGCATTGATTTAAATTGACATGCATCCGCTAAGATAAATAGTCCGTTGTTACTGTTTGAACTAACGCAGCAACGGTAGGAACTGCTTCAATAGTGTTTTTAAGGAGCTTTTTGATTACAGATTTGAAAACATCGTTGCTTGCTTTAAAAGTAGCACAATTCATTATGTCAAACCTCGGAAAGTATCTAGATATCCCTGCGCTAATGCCAAAGTAACTGGCAACTGAATATGCGTCGCCGTTTGATGTCTATGTCTGGACCGCTGCGTAAAAAGGAGGGTTTCTGCCCCATTACTTCTCTTCTTACTTCTATAAGAATAAAACACGGAGGACGGAGATCTCTTTTTCTCCCCCTCTTCTCCCCGCTGCAGCCTAGCAGCTGATCTCAGAGCCCGCTCCTCTCTTCTGCAGGGGGGCGTAGTCAGCTGCAGCTCACAGAATCAGCCCCCTGCAAAAACAGCGCTGGAAAGAGCAAATAGAGCGAAATGAGGCATGGCTAAAATGCAGGATCTTTTTGGTATTTTGAAAAAATTTGTAACTAATTTGGTGACTTTTGTCAAGACAAAATAAAAAAGGACATTCTTAGTTCTGTCAATACTCATGTGCTATTTGCTGTTATTTCAATGGGGAAATATGCAAAACATTTTGAGCAAAACACCCACCTTTTGTATGCGTACGTTACAAGAACAGGTTTTGTTGCGAAGGCAACATTTATACTTGATAATCTTTATGGGCTTGTTAGCGCTGTAATATCATAAGGGCAATGTCTTAATTGAGCAATTGAATTGGACCTTGAGACGAGCCAGATACGGTAACAATTGATGCACAACTCGTGGAGATATCAGTGGCTGCAATCCATTCTTTGTGACTTTGTGTTTGGGGTGCTGATTACTTAAAAGAATTGCCACAGAAATCTCGTACTTTAAGCACATTCCCTTTTGATGCCTGCATGAATCGGCAAAAGCTGAGCCGTGACATAGCTTTAGAAACATTCAAAGGTTGTGTGTGTTTCTGTTTCCTCGTTTGTTTGGCAGTTGCTCTCACTTTGTACTCATGCAAATACATTGAATCATGTCCTGCTTCATGTTCTTTTGTGTATACAAATGTTCCTTTGCATTTATCCCAGAACAGCATTAAAGCATATCTGTGTGCTGTTGAAAAAGCATCCAGTCTCAGTAATATTATCATTATTACAATCTCCGTAGGTTTGCCCAGTTCTTCCTGTGCCCTCTGTTTGATGAGAGCTGTAAGGACCGGGAGGTGAACGCTGTAGACTCTGAGCACGAGAAGAACCTGATGAATGACGCCTGGAGGCTGTTCCAGTTGGAGAAGGCCACCGGCAACCAAGACCACCCCTTCAGTAAATTTGGAACAGGTAGAGCATCTCTTAGGTTTCCTCTGATCTACACACATGACATTTCTAACACTGTTTTAACACTGTTTTATTTTTATTTGTGTATGGCCTTACTAGTCAATAGGCCAAGAAAGTTAGAACATTGATGCCACTTCAGCCCGCCCCTCCCTCCCTCCTACTGAAACAGTAACAAAAACATGACTATTAGACATAAACTCACATGAAACTTGTTTTTTAATCTCGATTATAAAAGTGGAGCTTTTTTGGACTCTGTCTCCGGGTATATTATAACACCACCACAAATCTTTTTAAATTCTCCATGTTTTTTCCCACTGGTTATACATGATATTTTCTTTCTGCATACACAACGCTAATTCATCATACCTTCTAGCAGATATAGATGAATGTTGATCAGTCAAAATAACTATTTTATAATACATCTGAGTTGACTTGTATTGGCGTTAATCACTGCTGTGTTCAATGATGTCAGGGAAGCATCTTCTGGCATGAAGTGACTTTACTCTGGACCAGAGAACTCCCACATCAGAGGGACTTGGAGCAAGCTTCAAAATGGCCACCTGATGGCAGTCTTGAATGATTTATTTACTCAAGTTAAGAATGGAACATATTTTTTCTGTCCCTGGCTTTTTATAGAAAATTAAATATGGTTCATTTACAGATGGCAGGCAAGGTAGCATGTGCAGGTACTTGACAGGCTACAGTCTCTGGGTTGGATGTTTATAACACAGCATTTAGTGCTCTAAATGCTCAGATGTTCATGCATCATCGGTAGTCTAAAAAGAGCAAGAGTGCAACCTGTGCGGCGATCATTATCTGTCCATTCCCCATAATGCATTGTCTAATAAAACAAAACTGTGAATTTGATATCAAACTGATTTGATTATTCCCCCCCCCCTTTTGTATTTGACTTGCAAAGTTGTCATTTAACTCGGTCATGGAGTTGTCTTGGCATGATTTTGAACAGCAAATATTCACTGTACATGAATAACTTCTCTTTCAGGTAACAAACTGACCCTGGAGACCCGGCCGTGTAAAGAGGGGATCGACATCCGTGAAGAGCTCCTGAAGTACCACTCCACATATTACTCCTCCAACCTCATGGGACTGTGCGTGTTAGGAAGAGGTAGGAGTTAACCTCTCACATGTCATGTTTGAATGTTGCAAAAGCATCACACCCTTGTTACTCAAGAGAACAAAGAGGAACCAACAATGCAAGTCATACGTGACTCAGTGGTCATGGCCTGAAACCATCTTATTATTATTAATAATAATAATAATAATACATTACATTTATAAAGCGCTTTTCCTGGTGCTCAAAGCGCTTAAGTGCGGCATTCAATTTATTATACAGCATTACAGCGGGTAATTGTCAAATCAATTGTAATGCTGCACCAAAGCAAACAAAAAACTATCAAGACTGAGTATATTTTTTAGTAAATTAACTTTTGATGCTACACTTCCCCTTCTTTCTTCTTCTTTGCACTCAAACCTGTTGTCTATTAGCTTGAAGTTGAAACTGAGCTAAACTATGAATGTTTTCAACTGTATGTTTACCTCCAGAATCATTAGACGATTTGACCGCCATGGTGGTTAAGCTGTTTGGAGAAGTGGAAAACAAGAATGTACCTGTCCCAGAATTCCCTGAGCACCCCTTCCAGGAAGAACACCTAAGAGTGAGTCACTTACTTACCTCACACTGCTCACTCTTCACACTTTACTGTAATCAACTCTCATAGAGTTTAATGATGAGAACTGGCTGTTGGCTGCTCAATGACATTTTTGATTCAACTTTATATACTATATTCATCAAGAAATGCAATAAGGAGTTTGACTACAATTTGAAAATGTACAGGTTTATAATTGTTTCGGGATTTCAATTATTTTTGGGAAAAATATATAAAGAATTTATATAATATGATAAATGTCTTACCTCAAAATATAATTTATAAAATATAATTAAAATTTTCCTAACAAGATTTGTGTGTGTGTTCTGTTGCAGCAATTCTACAGTGTGGTGCCTATCAAAGACATCAGGAACCTGTACGTGACGTTCCCCATCCCGGACCTACAGAAGCACTACAAATCCAACCCAGGACATTATCTGGGACATCTGATTGGTCACGAAGGACCCGGGAGTTTGTTATCCGAGCTCAAATCTAAAGGTAGGACATGAAGTAGAGCTTCGAAAAGATTCAAAAGTAGAGATTGAGAAAACATTTTACAACTATTCTGAACATTTTCCTATTCTCCTCTTTTTCCACCACAAATGTTGTTGATATATTTTTCTTATGTTTTTTTGAATGGTATGCCCATACACTTAACAATATCAATTACAACAGAAATGTAGACAGAATTCTGACGATTAGTCGTTTTTTTTTTAGTACCAATGATGTTCTGGTAAATGTATAATATGTTTAATTCTAAGTCTTAGATGTATTTTGTACTAATAAGGTACACGATAAAAAAAAAGGTCTTTATGATTATTTTTGCATCAATATTCTCATTATGAAATCCCTCGAGTAGGGAACCTAGACCCAACATAAGACTCATAAGATTATCATTATTCGAATGATCGTAGTATGATTTCATAAACATATGTACCAAACTAATGACGTTTTGTTAATTCTTTAGAAAACTATTTGTAGGTATATTATCTCAGCAGCAACACACTAACACATATTTGGCCCTCAATAAATATTGTGCTTCCTGCAGTTTGACCATTACTTGAATCCATATTAATATTTTGATAACGTTTAGATTAATGGTGCGGTTTTATTACTAACAACTAACCTAACAAGACGATGATTATTATTTTGAAGGCTGGGTGAACACATTGGTTGGAGGGCAGAAAGAAGGAGCCAAAGGATTCATGTTCTTCATCATCAATGTGGACCTGACTGAAGAGGGGCTCTGTGAGTACACTCTGCTAAATATGCATTATATATTTCACTTATCACTGCTGATGGGCTTTGCATGTACTTCTGATTATTCCCTACCATGGTCAGATTTGTAAATGTGCGAATAAATGTATATATATGTATATAGATCCTGTTTATGGCATGATATATAAACCTAATTATTTCTTATTGTTTGCATTGTTATTAAGATCTACATTAGTATTTGCTGTTATTCCTGGGGTCCACACACTTGTATTCACACACACATTTACACAACAATTATGTACGGAGGTGAAACTGAAATGAACTGAAACACAAAATCCACACTTATACTACAACTAAATAATTCATAGCAAGCAAGTCCTTGTCTGAAATGACCTTGAATTGCATATTGATCTATCTTGCACCTTTTTTTTTTTTTTTAAATGGTGTTTTTAAAAAGTAAAACAAAAACAAGATTTAAATTCAAGTAAAATGTTTACTTTCACACTTGTTTTCATTTTTCTCCTAAACCACAGTTCATAGTTGACATGCTGAGCCTCAATCAGACACCAATAAGACTATTTTGAAATTATTTTTGACAAATAAACGCAGGTCTTTATTGGACTTTGTATTACTTTTGTCAGTATGGACATGCTACACATTGAGAGATTCCCCACAATTAAATTGTTCACTTCCAGAACTCAGGAGCGAATGTTTAATCCAATCAGATTTACTAGCATGGCAAATAAGAGAGATGCCAAAAAGGGGTGACTCTCCATCCTTTTGGAATATGTGTCCAATGTTCAATTACTGGTATTCCATTTGTTGTATAAGTTTGTTTCCTAAAGAATAATATTTAAACTGGCAAAAATGTTATTTTCTCTTCTTCTTGCACCAGGTGTGCTTGTATTTGCTACCTTGCTAGCCACTTGAGTTCAGTGGTTGAAGCATGTAAACCCATGGGCTATTGAATGCAGTTTTAGGATACATATATTTCTTCTTTATCCTGCAGTGCACGTTGAGGACATCATCTTCCACATGTTCCAGTACATCCAGAAGCTGCGCACTGAGGGCCCTCAGGCGTGGGTGTTTGATGAGTGCAAGGTAATAATGTTGTCTATTCAGAGACGGATTCTCAGACAGAGGGGAAGGAAAAACTTGACCTACTTATTTTTGGTCAATGGAGAAATGAATAGTAATTTCTATCAAAATATGTGACGCTCTGATGGATTTAAGCCTCTCTTTCCTGGTAAACGCAGAAATGTCAAATAAACCTTTGAAATATTAATTGTAAAAATCACTTTTGAGCCAAAATGATCTAGAATAACATGGGCTTTCCATTTTATGCAGTTCCTCTTTCTAGAATCTGTCTCTTAATCTATTTCCACTGTATGTAACGGTTACATATGTTGTGGTTTCACCTGTTGCATCCTCCATCCCTGTCTCTCTGCAGGATTTAAACAATGTGGCCTTCAGGTTCAAGGACAAGGAGAGACCCCGCGGCTACACCTCCAAAGTGGCCGGTCTTGTACACGTAAGTCCCCTCCCCATCTGCAGAGGTTGTTTCCAGGGAGACACAATGCAGCTCAATGCGTCTGTCCCTGCTGTTGTCACCAGGCTGCTGCTTCATTCTGTTATTGAGAGGAATTGGATCTTAAAGACACAGTCCAAGTTAGGCTTGCCATTTAGATCTACCACAAATCCTGTATGAATGTTGCAGAAAGGCTCATTAACAAAGAGAAAGTACAGCCCAACACCAAGAATGCATATTTTCCCTTTTACTGGTAGTGCCAAGAGTCTGCCTAGATCAGGTTTTTTTAAGTATGAGCTTCTCATTGGAGGTCTGCCTTACTCCCCTGTGTAATGAAAGTGTAGGACACTCTGCTTGTGGTGCTTAATGCAGCAAAAAATACATTTTGAAAAGCTAGACAGCAACAAAGCTTTGCCCTCCATCTTTGTCCATCTTGTTGCTAACAATGCTAATCGCTCTGTGTTTCAGTACTATCCTCTTGAGGAAATCCTGGCAGCAGAGTACCTTTTGGAGGACTTCAGGCCTGATCTGATCGAGATGGTGTTGGATAAACTGAGACCACAACACGTCAGGTCAGTGTGAGAACATCAGACTGCAGACATAGGAATAAACAAGTGCACAGCTGGCACTATGCTTTCAATCAATCAATCAATCAATCAATCAATGTTTATTTATATAGCCCAATATCACAAATGTTACATTTGTCTCAGTGGACTTCACAGTTTGTGCAGAATATCAGTATGACAATACCACACCCTCTGTCCTTAGACGCTCACATCGTACAAGGAAAAACTTCCGGAGAAAACCCACAGTTTAAAGGGAAAAATGGGAGACACCTCAGGGAGAGCAACAGAGGAGGGATCCTCTCCCAGGACGGACAGACGTGCGCTTTGTGTAAATTGAAAGATAATACATTTGCAACATGTTAGTCCCATGTTTGGGAAATGCATGTGTGTATAATAGGAAGATGAATTCCACGAGGATATCTATCCAGCGACTTATGTTCCGGGACCCGACGCCACGACTCAGGTCCAGGACTATCGCGATCACATGCACAGGACCGCGGATCATCCATGATTTCCGGATCCGGGCGTATATAGCCACCAAAAAGAAGGAATTTGGGGAATGCTGGGTTAATCGGGAACATGGAGTACACAGTATGAGACGACAGAGAGAAGGGAGAAGTAAGTGTCCGCCCGACAACCTAAAGCCTATATCGCAAAACTAGGGGCTGATCTAATCAGCCCTAACTAGTGGTGCACGATATTTATCGGTCCGATTTAGGGATTATGACGTCATCCGATAACCCGATAAAAGTATTATGCCCCGTACATATTACATATTTTATTTGGGGTACACAAAAAAGAAAAAATACTGCGGTGTGGGTGGATTGGGATGAGGGGCGCTTGTTTTTCACTCGGTTCCTCCCGTTTTGCCAGTCTGTGGTTTAGTGGTTTAGGAGGAGGTGAGTTTCCCAATCCGCGCTCCACATCTATGCCCGGCTGTGCAGTAAATGGTGTGCGGGTCACGCAGCCTGTTCTAAACCCACTAGTCGTCATACCAGCAGTATCTGGTGCCTATTTCACACGGGATCAGCCAGTGATAGATAACAGATCCTGCCTCATCCCAATCCACCCACACCGCAGTTATTTTTTTTCTTTTTTTACCAAAAATATTGTACTATTATCGGGAGCTATTAATACTTTTATCGGGTTTTCGGGATGACGTCATAATTCCTAAATATCGGACGTATAATTATCGTGACCCACCTAGTTAGGGCTGATTAGATTCAGCCCCTAGTTTTGCTGATATAGGCTTAGTTTGTCGGGGACATCTTAACTTCTTCCTTCTCTCTGTCTGTCTATACCTGTGTACTCCTCATGTTCCGATTAACCCAGCTTCCCCAAATTTCTTTCTTTTGGTGTCTATATACGCCGGGATCCGGATCATTGGATGAGATCCTGCGGTCCTGTGTCATGGATCGCGGAGTCCTGGATCTTGAGTCGTGGCTGTGGTCCTGGATCATAAGTCCTGGATAGATATCCACCCCCCCCCCCCCCTCCGTGGATTCCATCCTTCCCTATTATACACACATGCATTTCCAAACATTTGGACTAACTATGTTGGCAAATGTATTATCTTTTCATTTACACAGCGCACGTCTGTCCGTCTGGGGAGAGGGATCCCTCCTCTGTCTGGCTCTCGGCCTGAGGTGTCCTCCATTTTTCGCTTTAAACTGTGGGTTTTCTCGGAAGTTTTTTCCTTGTAGCGCATGTGGAGGCGTCTAAGGGACAGGAGGGTGTGGTATTGTACATACCGGATTAATTCTGCACAAACTTGAAGTCCACATGAGACAAATGGTAAATTTGTGATATTGGGCTATATCAAACTAAACATTGATTGATTGTTGATTGATTGACGTTGAAAGCATAGTGCCAGCTGTGCAATTGTTTATTCTATGTCTGGCAGTCTGATGTTCCTCAGCACTGACCTGACGTGTTGTGGGGTCTTGCAGTTTATCCAACACACATCTCGATCAGATCAGGGCGCTGGAAAAAAGTCCTCGCAAAAAAAAGGTACTCTGCCTGCCAGGTTTCACTCAGAGGATAGTACTGAAACACACGCGATTAGCATTGTTAGCCAACAAGATGGGACAAAGATGGAGGGCAAAAGCTTTGTTGCTGTCTAGCTTTCTCAAAATTGTATTTTGCTGCATTAAGCACCACAAGGCAGAGTGTCTACAGCACTTTCATTACACAGGGAGTAAGGCAGACCTCAATTGAGAAGCTCATACTTAAAAAAACCTGATCTGAGGCAGACTTCTTGCACTACGCAGATAGGAAAGGGAAAATACTGGCGATTTCTTGGTGTGGCTGTACTTTTCTCTTTGTTAGACTTGAGCTTTCTGCAAGCATTCATAAACAGGATTGTGTGTAACGATCTACCTGCCCGCAAGCTAGCACTTGACTGTGTCATTTAATCGATCCAATTCCTCTCCATTAACAGGATGAAGGCAGGCAGCCCCTGGTGCCAAACCAGCCAAGGAACAGACGCCATCTGAGCCGCATTCGTGTCTCCGTGGAAACAACCTCCTGGCAGATCCAGAGGGGGAAAACTT